TCTATGAAATGCCTCTCTTAACCTTTGGACGATGATCTTATGTTCACACAGAGTTGTAAAAATAAGTCTTCTTGTCTCAGTTTCTTGAGTAAATCTTTTGAAAGTTTGTAGAAAATTATTTCCTAACAAAACATCTGCTCCTGTATCATGAAAATAGATTGGTGGTGTTTTTACCTTATACCAAGGATTACTACTGGCTCCGCCAATCATGATTTCTGCTTGTTTAATTCCTCTTTTAAGTATAAGAATCCTTTTAGAGAAATCTCTTCCTGCTATAGGGGTTAGGTCCTCTCCTATTTCTTTTGGAAATACTCCAGGTTTTGCTGTGCAAATACCTGCTCCAGAATCAATATAAGTTGCAAAATATTCTGCCCTATATGATTCATATAATATTCCGACTGAAATATAAATCGAGAATGGACTAGTTGTCATCTAAACTCTATATCTTCGTCCATTTACTGTGAACTCCATTCCGTCTTCTAACCTCTCCCATGGTTTATGGTTTTCAAGGAATTCTAATCCTAGAACAAGTTGTTCCGGGATCCTTCCTGCTCCTCATGTGATCACCGTTTCAATTTCTCCGATCTTCAGGATACCTTCATATTGTCCTATTATAGGTTGTTGGAGGTAATATAAGGCATCACAGGGAAATAAATTATCCTTTTGTGTGATATCAAACCTTATTTCTACTGACCTCCATCCTTCAGGATATCTAATTTCTCCAGTTGTTTTAAATACCTCTGGAGTTCTTGTATGTATACTTGCTCGTTGTTCTTCCCAATGGTTACTACTAATTGCTCTATCTTGCTGGAAAGACATTCTCTTGGGCTCACTCATGAGGCTTTTAGACCAGTTAAAAACAGGTCTATCTTGGATTCTCATATCAATTTCTTCAATTGTCAGATTTTCAATAATATCCGATAATACCGCTTTTGCAAAATCCTCAAATATCCTGGGAACTTCTATGAATTCCTTCCTTAGAAATACCTCAGAATGATGAGTGTTTGATAAAGCATAGGAAATCTTGTAGGTAATGGAATAGGGTCTATTCCCTTCTTTCATCAACTCTGTTCTTTTAAAATCTTGATGTAGGGTAAGAACTTTGTTAAAATCACGATCTCCTAAATTGTATGAAATTCTTGGATAGACATTGAATGCCAATTTTCCTGCATGCAAATTTCTTGTAATTCCTCCAAGACATGAGTCTTTAAGGTCAGAAATCCTTTTATCAAATATCGCCAGATTAAGAGGTGAATCTATTCCTTCTTTAAAGGTTGACTTGATGACTACTCTAATGGCTCCAATGTGGATCAATAAAAGTGTATTAGCCACTTCTCTTTTGAGCCTTCCTTTAATATCCTGAATTTCTTTATAGGGAATGAGTTGCATCTCTATTTGATTCCCGGTATATTCCATTGGAATGGCAAACTCTCCTATTGAGACTCTATGGATAATATGGTGGTTTCTACTTCTCAAACCTATTTTATCCATAACCTTTTCTATTGCCCCAATAGTAAATCCATCATACATTTGAAGCTTTGGATCTTCCTTCATAATCTTCATAAGAGTTTTGTTAGACACTGTCGTATGGGAAAAGAATCCCGACATGTCTTCTCTTACTACTTGTTGAAGGAACTCTTCTTTACTCTGATTCCGAACTGGATTCACTTCCATTTTCAGAGTATACTTCTTCTTCTTCATAAATGCTTTCTTCTGAGGGAATATCCTCAAATTGATACACTTGTACCAAATCTTGGTAGTAGACAGCATCATCAAATTCTGGGGTGGCTTCAAACTGTCTTATTTCTTGCCTTTTATTATCCGGGCAATCGGTTGATATATGACCTCTTGCTCCGCAAGTCCAACAATTACAGTCTTTAAAACTTTCATTGGCTCGTGTTTGAGTTCTTTTGAAAGTTCTTCTACTTGTACATTTTTTATTAGAACCTGAAGAAGAGGCTCTACTGCGGCTTGGTATTGGTCTTTGTCCTGATTTATAATTTCGGGCCTTTTGTTTTGACCAATATCGTCCAGGTCTCCATGAAGACCTACTCTTCTTGTATCCACGGGAGTGAGCATCTCTAGTATGCTTTCTCCGTTTGTTTCTACGTGGATGACTCCCGATAATTGTTGGAATGTCATTTTCTTCACAACATAGAGGAACTTATTTGTTGATACCTCTAAGTCTTTTATAATTTTTGTGTAGTGCCGCCTGATGGCACCACTCGGATAGTTTGGCCTTGAGAAATGACATCCTTCTAGCCACCGTATCTACCTCGTCCATCTTATACTCTTTGATTAGCATTTCTCTCCATGGACTGGGTATCTTTGCAAAGAACATTTGGGAGGCTTCAGAATCTGCCACCATGGCCTTCCATCTATACTCCGTGAATAACTTGATATATTCATCTACATGACAAATGTCATGTAATTCTAAACAATAGAGGGCTTGCTTATATCTCTTTTGTTTTTATTCCTCTACTCCTTCAAAATATCCCGTGCCGATAAATAAGATCTTAAATACTCTAGCCATATTATCGACTATTCCTTTTAATGATTCTCCAACCTTCTAGGCTCATTTCGAGAAGAGAAATGAACCCTTCTTTGTTGAGATCCAAGGTCCCTCCAGCAATTCTCATTGCAGAGGCCCAATCATCGATAAGGATTTCTCGATTTTTAAAATCTAAAGTATCTAGATTCAACATTAATCCATAAGGATGAATTGGATCTAGTTGCGATTTCCCATAAGGGGTATTTTGAAGGTTAGGTCTTCGGGAACACATTCGGGTACCAGCTGGATGCCCGCTTTCTCCCCGAACCTGAAAATCCCCTTGATGGGGCATATGTTGTTCCTCAGGTTGGTGAGAACCCGAACTTTCTCCTCCAGGAGGTGGTTGGGATCTAGTTATTATTGTTGAACCATCTCCCATGTTCATTTTTAAGTCTACTAGACCCAGCCCCGCAAAAGATTCTGCAAGGTCATGTAGATCCTCCAAATTCACTCTTTCCATTATTTGTTAGTGAATTTACCTTTTAAGATGGCTCTCATCTTTTCGTCCTCTGTCATAGGCCTTCGAACTTCGGTGGGTTTACCCTTTTGGTGTAATAGGGGTACTGTACCGAAGGTTACTTTTCTTCGTCCTCCAGAAGAATTGGGTCTATCTTCTAGAGTTTTAACTCGCTTTTGAATGTCAATAAGGATTTCTAATGTATCCTTTTGACTCTTCATTAGCTCTTCAATTTTGGTTAGCGTCTGTTGAACCTTGTTTGGTACAAACAATTGCTTTTCACCATAGCTTTGTACCGTCTTTTGTAATTCGCGAATATCTTCAGAAAACTTAGATTAGTCTGGAATAACTTCTTTCCAGGTTAAACTATTATAGCTCATTGATGACTGTGATTTTGATGAGCTATTTCTTAATGATTTAATAAATCTATTTGTAACAATTGGTTTACCCAGAGGGCATCCATATGATACTTCTTTTGTTTTTGGCAAAGTTTAGTTGTAATTCTATTAACTCCTGCCATAACTTGTTCAACATAGTGGTCATCCCAATGGGAAACCATTTGTTGGTGTTCTTGTTCACACATCTTCAAAATTTGAAGATATCTTAGATAATGTATACATTTTGGACAATTTTCTATATCCATTCTTTTATAATTCTCCTCACCAAAATTCAATTACCACGTAATAAATTCTTCTAAGAGTTCTTAATAAAACCAAGACTCTGATACCATTTTATGTGTGGTGGTACTCCGAGAATAAAGTCAGGTACAATATAGAAAGACATTTGGTACTCTATGTAAATTTATAACACAAGATACTATTTTGAAAGCCCTTGGTACTATACTGAATGAAAAGTGATACTTTTCTTTTAAAAAACAGGTATCGAGACAGAAATGTAATTTAAACCTTAGAGGGGACCATAAAGTTGTTACTAGGGAGTTGAATGGAAAAAATTTTCATTAGAAACTGAATGAGAAGATGAATTTAGGATTGAGGATTTATCTATACATTTCCCTATAAATGGTTTATTTGTAGTTTTGTTTTTATTATTGATTTTCAAATTGCATAATTTTGTGGTTTATGAATGGTATGGTATATAAACAGTATATTTCCGGGGTAAAGCCCTAAAAAGAACTTTTTTTTTGTAAATTTTCGTATCCCGCCATTGCAGAGTTTCGTAGTTCTGAAGCTTATCACTTCCCCATTTCCATTTTTCGCCAGTGCAATTTCGTTTGCAGAAGATAAGAAAATGCAACAGCGATTGATTAAGTGAAATCTGAACCTGCTGAAGTAGTTTGGTGGTCTCGGCGCTTAATTTGAACTCACAACGGTTAGTTTTTATGCAGTTTACTTACTGTTTATTTATACCCTTTCAGAAATGTTGGATGCATTCGATTGAGCTCAAGCGCGGGATATTTTTGCTGAAAAAAAAAATCCTATTTTTATTGGCAATCTGCGGAAATCTCTAGATGCACTTATGGCCCCAGTTTTCAAGTGTTATGGCTTTGTTGTTGTGTGTGTTTACTGTAATGAGTTTTTATTTTTTCTTGAAGAAAATGAAAAGTAGAAATTTCATGGAGCTATCCAACTACAGTTGGGAGCAGGCAGAACACCGTGCGCTTTGCATTAATTTGTTTCAAACATTATTAGCTGCATAGAACTCATTTCTGTCTATAATTGTAATATTTTGTTTTTAATTTCGTGTATCGATAATGCTCTAGCTTTACATGTTCAATGAAGCAAAAGTAAGGTAGAATTCCATGTAAGGCAAAAATCTGTTTATAATTTTCTCAATGCTCGTGTTAATCATATAGCCTGTTTGATAAATTTCAATTTGGGTGCTCGCTCGCTGTTGTCGCCATAGCTTCTTTGAGGGAGTGTTCTGTTTATATGACTTTCACAGAGTTGTGTTCTTAACTGTACGTCACTCCTTGTGAAGTGATTTTGTGTTATTGGGCAAACTCAGAAGACCAGTGGGATGTATTGGTGAAAGATGAAGGGAAAACACACAAGGCAAGTACTTTGTTCTTTGTACTTTCCTTTGTGTTAGTAATAATTTTGTTTATTTTCCTGTATTACTTTCTTTTAACTAATGAAAATACTATTTGTGAACGTAGGGAAGGCAATTCTAATGGAGATATGGATTGCAGCTACAAAGTGAAAAAAGTTAATTGGTCAGAACATGCAAAAGCACACAACGACTTCTTGAGCCAAGATAAATTCTTGAGTGCAAACTTCCTTTTCTCGTTGTCAACTCAAAAACCTCAAACTGATGAAGCAATGGGTGCAAGGTAATACTTTGATCATTCTTTCCGTTGTTTAGTTGAACGCCATTAGCATCTTGACACCATGAAATTGTATCTTTGGTTTACATTTTGTCTTTCTTCAATTTTGGAGTTGGTATAGTGTATCAATCTTCTTACAGGGGTTCTTTGGATGCGAATCTAGCGAAGGACTTGTATTATAGTTGGCACAAAGGATATTCCCTTATAAAGACGTTCATGTATATTTTTATGTTTCTGTATTTGTAGGTCTCACTTCTTCACAACCAGCTTTTCATTAATTCTGACACCGTAGACTATATAATATAAGATTTAAGAAGTTAATAATATTTATGAGGATTTGGGTGGGAGCATTTATTTAATGGTGGCCTTGTTGAAGTTCCTATTTCCTCTTCCTTATATTTTTTCATCTGTCCTAGGTCTGCGATTTGTCAAGTTCGGGATGTAGGAAGGAACACGGCACAAGTTGAAAAGGTGAAGCATCAGTTATGAATGAGCAGTTCCTTTTCGTTGTTTCATTCCATGATTGCCTTTGGTATATTTGTAATTCACATACGATAATCATCTCATCTGTATCTTAATATGCTGCCAAACACCTTCATGCCAACCTGTGTAGTGCAACTGCTTGCTGCTACAATAAATTGTGAACAAAGTGGCGTATTTGGAGATTTGTTTTATTGATAGTGCATGTGGATATTTTAGGAATAAATATTTCGTCATTCCTTATTCTTTGTGTTGAACTGTAATTTATGACTTCATGTCTTTATGAGCCAACACTGTTGAGTCTGTACCTTAAGGTAACTCTTTTTAAATTCATTTTGTGGAAGTGTAACAAGGCCTTTTTTGGTTTGTAATGGGAAACATTTTTTTCACAAATAACGCAAGTGTTGCACTCTAATTGCTTGGTGCAAACTACAAATGCATGAGTAAGTACTATTATTTAGTATTGGCCAATGGAGGAATCAGATGTATTAGGCTGTAAAAAGATCATTTATGTTGAGAAATACAGAATCAGATTAGATAATTAGAGGGTATAATGGTTTAACAGGGAGAAGGTAGAAACTATGAGATACCTAGTATAGTGGTGATTATAAAAAAGGCGACTGCTTTCGGTAAGGCGGGTATGCCGATATCCAGGTTTATAAAAGCCATGTCAAAGCAAACCTTCCTGGAAAATTATTTAATTAATTGTGCTTAATTCTTTGATTTGTATTGCCTTCTTGTAACTAAAATGCTTGCTTTCCTAGCTTATTGAATTTCATATATCTCAATTTTTCAGTATTTTAAACTTCAGTCTTCCTTTCTCTTGGTCCATAGTGCAGAAATCTTGATTCTCATTTCCCTTGACCCTTTTCCTAATAGCAGCACATGAGCTGATGATAGAATATAATAAAATGTCTTGCCATGGTGCAGTACAAGCTCCTTTGTCCAGAGTACTTTAAGGCCATAGGCCAACGCAGATTACATTTCATCATACAACTTGATTTCGCTTTCAAATCAATTCATAGTTTCTATTTTCGTAAAATATGAATCGTCTTGTGAAACATCAGCAGGCTTGGAAGCTCCTGTCTGGCCTTCAGTTATCTTCTCGAAGTTATACCAAACCTGGAAAAACTCTTTCTCTATGCAAAGATGGAAATGTTTCCGTATCTCAGAGCACAAGACAAACATCTAAATGCTCATCTGGTTTGAAAAGCACAGCTGGAGAATGTCACCAGAGTTATCAGAACCCTGCAAAAGGTGAAGTACATACTGGTGAAACCAATAGAAACTCGGGCAGTACCTGGGTATCACGAGCATTTGAGGCTAAAGAGATCCCTCACCCCAGAGTGAATGCCCCTACCAAGGCCTCATCTGATGTCATTGATGATGATAACATGGATGATGATGACATTTTGGAGGTAATTCTTGACATCTGCCATATGAGTGTGATCCGGTTTTCAGTTTTCTGAAGGGCAGGTGGTGGTTTGTCTGCCCTTCATGGTCTATTATAGGTTAATTTCTATATTTTCTCATGTTCATTAATTGAAAATTCTTGTGAAGAACAAAAAGCTTTCTTGTTCTGTCGGTTATTGTAAGATAATGATTACCTAAACTTAAATTTTTCTACTTTCCCTTTTCTGTTTTGAGTTCATAATTTTAGTTAGTAATAATACATCTGGCTGTTAACTATTATTTCAATTCTTCAGAATATCGATGTGGATCAAATTGTTTTGGATCATTACCAATCAACTCCTCTACCATCAGTCTCTAGATTTCCCCAAACTACCCCGTATACAAATAAAGGCAATTTTTCTGTTGAGGAAACAAATTTACCTCCAGAATTGTGCTTAATGTGCAGTCACAATCATAAGGTAATCATTCAGTTAAACTAATCCTAAATGAGTCAAGTTTGCTACCTATCTTATTCTTGCTACTGAATGGTGCAGCTAGGCATTTGTCCTGAAGCTTCACGTCACCTGCAGGCTATGAAGGATACTCTAATATGTATATCCAATGATCTTCTTGACAATGTTGGTGAGATCAATTCAGAGAGAATCCAGGCCCTTCAACAAGAAAGGTATGCTTCACTCTCCTCGCCTTTGTTGCTACTTACGAGGTAATTGCAATTTGGTTTAATATTTGGAAATAGGTTATTTCACAAAATGATATGAAAGTGTACGAGAATCTGATATCAATATGTTTTTCCCATCTGTGTGTATCATGTGCTAATATGTTGAATTTGGTTTAATCATTGAGTAATGAAATCATCCAGCATTTATGATATGTACTTTTTACTGTAGGCAATTGCTGAGGAAGCAGATTCAGCAGCTTGAGAAACATCTCCAAACAACGTTGGTGAACGAGGAAAGGAAAATGTCTCATTTTTCTGCTTCCACAGCATCCCATATGCCATTTCAGCGTGACACTGCTTCAACAATGCCATCTATAATCGAACCCAGAAGGCTAGATTCCCAGTTTCAAGCAAACAATGAGCCTTATGAATTTGATAGATGGGGCCAATCGTCTTCATCATTTTATTCTACAGATGGGTTTGGTTTATCAAATGCTTCTGTGGAGAGAGAACCGTATATTCCAAAAAATATTGAGATAAATTACATAGATGGTTCAACTGACAAAAAATGGAGCAGTCGGGAATTTGCTTGGACAAAGAAACTAGAGGTTCGCATAGCATCTGAACTCTCATTTAAAAATCCACTAGTGCACTAACTTCTGTCCATATTGTTCAGACAAACAACAAAAAAGTGTTTGGCAATCATTCTTTCCGTCCAAACCAAAGGGAGGTGATCAATGCTACAATGAGCGGCCACGATGTTTTTGTATTAATGCCAACTGGAGGGGGTAAAAGCTTGACTTATCAGGTTACATTGTTTCTTCTATATCACATCTTTTCTGTTTTTAACTTGTTATTCAGCTTCCCAATTATGAAATATGTCTAGATTAGCATATCGTCATCTACCCTATTTCTATATTTTTCCAGTTTTAGTTCGAGCTGAATGTTTAATTTGGAACGGATATGTATTATATATGTTTTCTCATTGTTCTCTCCTTTTAGATTTTCTCCTGGTGCCAGTACTTTTAAGTGTATTTACAATCCAGACATTACTATTTCAATTTGGAACAAAGATTCTGTGCCCATGGTTCTCACTTTCTTATCTATTATCAGTAGGTGTTATCAGCATTATATGTATTTTTAATGATTATTCTTATTCAAAGCTGATTATCTCTACTTGAGCATGGAAGTGATAGGGTGGACTGCTGTATTCAAGTTACACTATCCATAGCAGCATTTGATTGCAAGAATGTAGATTTATCAGTTGATTGACCAATAAATACTGTAATAGCACTTGTGTAATGTGGTATTATTACTTATTCTGAAACTTTATGGTGGTTCCTAGAAAAACAGATATAAGCAATGGAATAAGATTGGAAATATGTTGCTGTAGTACATCTCTGGTATGGTAATCGATCAGGTTTCTAGTTTGAGTGCCCTGACAAGTCACAACTAACCAAAAGATCTATGTTATGATCTTACCAGTTCTCGTGGTACTGACTTTTACTTTCTGACTTGTTTGTGTTAATGTTGCTTGTGGTTGAAATTGGATGTGCTTTGCTAGTGAATTGGTATCTTGTTTATTCAGTACTCTTTGATGGGCATTTAACATTTTGTGAATCCTGGTTTCCTGTAGCTCCCTGCTCTTATATGTCCTGGCATAACTTTGGTCATTTCTCCTCTCGTTTCTCTCATTCAAGACCAAATAATGCATCTACGGCAGGTAATTGGAAATATGATATGTGATACTTAAAAATTGGACATTTCTTGTCGACTCTGATGACCTCCAGCCTGACGTTATTTCAATCAAACTGCATACCAGGCAAATATACCTGCTTCTTATCTGAGTGCCAACATGGAGTGGACTGAGCAGCAGGAGATTCTAAGAGAGCTTAGTTCTGATTATTGCAAGTACAAGTTGTTATATGTCACTCCAGAGAAAGTCGCTAAGTAAGTAGTGTCCTAGAAAGTCAATCTTTCATATGACTTGCTTGTAGATCAATGTTTGGTTCTGCCTCTAGTATGTTCACGCACTCTAAGTTGATGTAAGTCATGAGGCATGTGTGTCTGTAACTGCTGTTTTTGGTACTAACATTATTGGATACCGTCTGATGGGAATTCTTACTTTGTAGCAGAAATGCATATGGCGATCAAATTTAGTGGTTGTCAAATCAGGACCGCTTAGTGTGGGTTGACTTGAATGATGAGAACAATTTCACAAAAAAAGAATGTTGATTGCAGTGGAGTAATTACTTATTTTCCAATTTATCTTGATGATGATGATGATGATAATGATGATGATACGGTGGATTCCTACATGTGTCTTACTGCATAAGATTCATTGGCATTTGGCAGGATAGTTCAATTTTGTTATTAGTATCTAGGTTCAAGTGGCTGAATTTCTCTCGTTTCACCCTGCAGGAGTGATGCTCTACTGCGTCAGTTGGAGAGCTTACATTCTCGTGACTCTCTTGCTCGTATTGTCATTGATGAAGCTCATTGTGTTAGCCAGTGGGGACATGATTTTAGACCAGATTACCAGGTACAACCATGCTTTAATAGTCTATTATCAGTAATGTCGATCTGCCATATCATTTACTGTTTAATTTTAGGTACCGTGTTAAATGAACCTGGAAATTCAATTTGCACTCTAACTTGTTCACACATTTGGGTATTATGTTTTTCTTTGAATGATTTACAGAAAGTTTGTAAGTTTCATATTCTTATCACGTTACAACATATTTTGAGGTTAACAAATATTATTGCCTATAATTTACCATTCGCTAAATTGATATCACGTGAATTGGTTGTGTTGCCTGCACAGGGTCTTGGTATGTTGAAACAGAAGTTTCCGAACATACCTGTCTTGGCCTTAACTGCTACTGCTACTATTAGCGTTAAGGAAGATGTTGTGCAAGCACTAGGTCTGGTAAACTGCATTGTCTTTCGGCAAAGTTTTAATCGTCCAAATTTACGGTAAGTGCTGATATAAGATCTATACGGCATGACATCACCATTTCTTAATGCTGCAAACATTGCAGATATTCTGTGGTTCCCAAGACAAAGAAGTGTGTGGAAGAGATTGACAAGTTTATCAGAGAGAGTCATTTTGACGAATGTGGAATCATATACTGTCTATCGAGAATGGATTGTGAAAAAGTTGCTGAAAAGTTACAGGTTTGTCCACTTTTGAAATCTATGATGTCATTTTTCTGCAAATTTTTATGCTCATAAGGAGGATGTTGGATCTACAAGGTAGCATGGTTCGTATAATTCTAGTACCTAAATTAAAACACGCCAATAACTCAGACTGTTGATACCATTAAATTGATATTTTGTCAATGTCCAAACCGTTTCTGAAACTTTCATGTGTGGGATTCCTCTAAGTACTTTTTCCATCTTCTTGGTGGATTTTCTGGAAACTGGGCTGTTGTCCCGAGCTTCATACAGAAAAGTACAGATTGCTGCACTGAGTTAAGAAACAGTGGAACAGCCTGAGATGTGGAACTTGATAACTTTTATATAGCAGTCTTCTGATACCTTTTACGACATTCTACTTTGCATTAGTCTTCTATGATCTAGCGATCATCTATCATCAATGTGTTTTATAAGTATTGCTGTAAATTAAGAAGTAAGCCTTTAAGCCTTGTGTAGACGGGCTGCTAGCTGTAGCTGAGATCTGAAATACAGGAGGTGTCAATTCCGACAATGTTGTCAGGATTATCATTATTGGTTTTGAAATATCAGTTATTTAATTTGTTTTATTTATATCCAATCTTAAACCAAAACTATTAAAGTCCATGCTCTAATGATTAGCTCTAGCTATCATCAGATGAGGAAGTGAGTAACAGTAGAATTATACTGTGCAGTAATACTAATACTGCATTCAAGCCATTATATAAAGTATAGATTTTTTTGCAATTATATGTTGGTAGTACATGCATTTTGCAGGAGTATGGACACAAAGCAGCCTTTTACCATGGCAGCATGGACTCTGAGCAGCGTGCAATGGTTCAGAAGCAGTGGAGCAAGGATGAGATCAACGTTATATGTGCGACCGTGGCATTCGGGATGGGTACAGTTCTACTGTTTTGCTCCCTTTAGGTTTGCACTAGATATGCACTAACATTAGTATTTCAGGTATTAATAAGCCTGATGTTCGGTTTGTCATTCACCATTCTCTTCCAAAATCCATTGAAGGCTACCATCAGGTTTTCTCTGAAGCACATTGTCTTTCTTTTCTGCCTTTATAATATGTTTTAATGCTTGTGATAAAATGATTGGGTTTCATTAGTTTTGTTTGACTCTACCTTGTTACTTGTAGGAGTGTGGTCGTGCTGGTCGGGATGGTCTGTCTTCATCTTGTGTCTTATACTACAGTTATAGCGATTATGTGAGTTCCAACATCAAAAACTATCTTCTAATTTGCTTAGAAAATTCTTTTATTTGTTCCACAAGGTGCTTCCTTTTAGCTTGTTATAATATTACTATCTGCATTCACCACATATTCTGGCTTATGTCAACTTATGTATATCTCCTTTTCATGTGTGTTTTTCTTTCTGCAGATTCGTGTGAAACACATGATTAGTCAAGGAGCTTTCGAGCAAAGTTCCCTATCGTCAGGCTATCATCGTGCAAATACGGCACCTTCAGGGAGGTTATTGGAGACAAACTCCGAGAATCTGCTACGAATGGTATTGACAGAATAATTACTTTTTTTCTTTTTCCTGTTTTAATACTTGAGATTATCTCCAGAAACTAGTTATGACACTTAGTGTAGTTCCAACAAATCCCTGCCAACTTTTATTATTACAAATACTCATAATATTTGGTGATTTGTCATTAAAGTGTAACCTTAGATTTGTACAGTAAATACAAACTTCAGGGATATTTGTAGTTTGAAAAGAATTGAGGATATGTAATAGAATAACGGGTTGTTTTGTTATAATTTTCATTTCCTCTTTTTCGTTTTCTTTTCCTCACATTCTAACTTGGACATTTTCAGGTTAGCTACTGTGAAAATGATGTTGATTGTCGACGTCTCCTACAACTAATTCATTTTGGAGAGAAGTTTGATTCTATGAACTGCCAGAAAACATGCGATAATTGTTTCAAGAATCAAAACTATGAGGAGAAAGATGTGACTAAGACTGCAAAGCAGCTGGTTTGGGTTTTAAGATCAATTTACTTTTGATTTCTGTAAATCTGTTACGTAGACAATATTTTGTCTCAGCTGTTGTCTTTAACTGTTTGTTATATTTTTCCCAATGTTATTTCATAACTGAATAATGTTATTTCATAACTGAATGAGTCACGTGATGTCACGGTATAAAATATGCTTTACAGGTCGAATTAGTAAAGACAACAAACCAGCAGTTTTCAGCTGCTCATCTCCTGGAGGTGTACAGAGGTTCCTTGAACCAGTTTGTATGTTCCAAAGACCTAAAGTGACCTCACGTCTAATTTCATGTATTGGGCAGGTTATTTGACACTTCTTTTTAAACGAAAAATGTAGGTTAAGAAACACAAACATGAGAAGTTGAGATTGCATGGAGCTGGAAAACATTTGGCCAAGGGTGAAGCATCACGTGTACTCCGCCATCTGGTCACTGAAGATATCCTGATTGAAGATGTGAAGAAAAGTGATATGTTTGGATCTGTATCGTCAGTATTGAAGGTATTTCTCCAACTTTTTTTTTTGGACAGTATTATTTGGATAGCAGAAGGAAATCCCATCCTCATATTTAAGACCGGCCTTTGTCATATGGCTCTTTATCGCAGGTGAATGGACCCAAGGCCAACAATCTTGTTTCTGGTGTTCAGACAATTAAACTAAGGTTGTACCCTTTTGCCATTACAATAAGCTGAATGTAATTTTCTGATTTTATTTATTAACTTTTTTCAGTCCTAAAACCATTAAACCTCAGTGGAATGTGCAAATCAGATTCTTGTTTTGAAATATCTGAATGGGCCCATGTTTACATTTTCTTTTCCATTGGTTCACATTGTTGCTTCCTTAAAAAAATCAGTGAGAATCACCAAATAATACTTCAGACCATCAAAGCCATATGGCCCATATCCTTTACTTAAATTGGGAGCCGTCACATTTATCCATCATATTGGTACTTACTATCTTCGTCTCTTTATTTGCTTATACTGACACCATTTTCTGGTGAATTTGTACCTTCAGATTCCCAGATTTTGCCAAAGCATCGAAGTCAAGTCGATCAGCAGCCGCCACTCCAGCAAAAGTCTCATTGCCTATGGAAAAGAAAAGCTTAACGCAGGTGGATATTCCAGCAGCCCAACCTCAATCTGAAGCGAATTTGGCAAGTCTTTTTCGAGTTTTTTAATCAACAAAATTTTAAAACGGGTGGTTTTATTGCAAAAACCATCAAGCAAGTATAAGTGCAGTTGTTTATCTCTCAATATTCTTCCTTTTTCTGCACAGGACCTTCCAGTCAAAATATTTCGTGCATTGCGAGCACTTAGAACCACCCTTATCAACGAAGCTCAAGAGATTGGAATGAGTGCTCATCACGTTTTCTCGTACGGTCATGTTCTTGTTCTCACCATCATCTTTCTTTATTTCCATTCGGGATTTCAAGATCCTCTTCAGGAAATCATGAATACCCGCTTGAGATTTGTTTCTAGCTATCTAATTTCTACTTAACAAATACCCTTCCATGAGTGCTTTCTGTTAAAATTGAAATAAGCTTGAAACTGGTTTTTGAACTTCAAAATAATCTGGCTCAGCGTAACATTTTTGCATGAAGACCCATTTAAGTTGCAAAATCACAGCATAGGCACCCAACTTACTTGCTTCTATTTTCTCTCCCGGTCCAGAACTACCATATTACAAAGAATCTGCAGGGCTATTCCTAGAACCAAAGACGAGCTCCTAGAAGTCGACGGCATCGGAGAGTAAGTTGATCGATACACATACCAAAACCTCCAAATCCCATAACCACTCACCCAAAAACCAATATTTATTTTATAATTTTTTTTTTTTTAGTGGCAAGCTCATGAGATACGGTGACCGTGTCCTGGAAACTATAGAGGCCACCATCAGAGACCATTATGGGGACAAAAACGGCACCAACAGTAACGACAGCTCGGATTCGAGAAAAAGGGGAAATGACACAAAGGTATCGAGTGGTACCTCAAACGATGACGATTTTGTCGAGATCACTGGCCCGACGAGAAAGAGGCTGGCAAAAAACAGGGATAAAAATCCTGAGCCGGTTTATGATGCATTTCACGAATTTGATGATATAAACTTTGATGACGATCTGATTGAAGTTGAGGTCGGCGAGGTGGATCGGGTGAAAGGCGGCAGGGTCTTGCCTTCGTGGTTGGTTAATGGGAATTGAGTTCCGAGTTAGTTGGTGTTGATTCATGTTTGTTTTTTTGAAATATATTTTTTTTTTTTTTTTGGGAGGGAAACTGTAGTTGTGTTTGATTGTGTTCTTATGTTTCTATGAGGGGGTAAAGGTTTCTTTTTATCTATTTACTATTTATTTATCTAATCTTTTCTATGTTGAATATGGAGGACTAATGATAATAATCTTTAGTGATGCGGTTTTGGGTTTCCAAATCGTCAAGTTACTTATAATGTGCATACATAAAAAAAAATAAATATTGCAATAAATATTCGTATAATGTGCATACATAAAAAAAAAATAACACAAATAAAGAATTATGAATTTGAAAATATTATTTGTATAATTACTTTCATGAAAATTCTGAATGCTAAATTTTAATTAAACCACGTCTATTGTTATCTAAATTATTCATTTCGTTTTTTTGCACAAACATCAACATAGTTTTAAAATAAAATAAGTTATTATTCCATATTTATAATAAAAAAGAATTAAAAACATCTATGAAGTTCAAAGTTGTCAATTTTTTTATTTATTTTTTATTTTTTTTTTTTCCACTTGAATGCAATAATTTAAAAATATAATCTAAACGAAGGTAATTCCAAAGTAGTTTTTATGCTTACTCATAATGCCTTAGATGAAACAAGAAACAAAATCTCTTTAACATAAATGATATTTGTGTGCATTTACGATGATTTTCACGTAAAAAAAAAAACTAGGATCACACACGACAATGTTCATTTTACACATAAGCACCAGCTAGAAATTACTTTTAATAAATGCTTTACTAATTATATATATATCAAAATTAATTATTATATATTTATTCATATCTTCACATATCAAATAAAACTATTGCGGTACCCCTACGATGCACAAGCTAATTTTATGAAGGTAAACATTTACATTTGGATGATTGGAAGAACATAGAGAACATGTATAGGAATAAAGCAAAATGTAACTTATATATTATTAAACAGAAAACGACGTACCTCTCTGTAAACCGTATCTAAGAAAATAAACACTTGAAATCTATATATATTAGGATTCTAAATAGGCTTAAATAAATTAATTAAATTATTTAGCAGGATATATATGATATTATGTATACTGGTTTTATGAAGATTGCATAGCCAAATATAACTGAGATTTTAAAACGTCTTTTTGGTAATCTATATTTTTTTTTATTTTAAAATTGTAAATTACTTTATTTAAAGAATGAAAATTGTGTACGTGTATGCAATCAATTTCAAATTTATAATTTATAGGATTAAATAAAACCCAAATTTTTAGGATGTTCCAATCCGATTACATTTTGAATTTTAAATTAATATAATTTAACTTTGTTTTATGTTTAAAAAAAAATCGAATTAGAGAAAATAGTAGCCAAATGATATGAGATTTTTAAAGTTTAATTTTCAATTTGAAATTGGGTTGATTTCTATGCAATCCAATTTTTTTTAATAAATATGATCTGTTGCAATTAATAAAGATACATGTTATACTATTTTGCCTAATTCGAAATTCTCGATGTTATGGTAATTTTTTTTAATAATAAATGAGAGAATTTTGACTTTTACAAAATTGTCATGTCAAATTTTACCTAAATTAACTCAATTTCTATGCAATCTGATTTTTTTAATAAACAATTGATCTGTTGCAATGAAGAAAAGATATATACGGTAGTATTTTGCCTAATTCAAAATTACCGATTTTATTGTTATATGTTTTTTTTTAATTGAAAAATGGAAAAGAATTTTGACTTTTGCAAAATTATAAGCATTAGTCGAAATTTACCTAAATCACATCCACAAAACCTATTAGTTTAGGGTCCATATATAGCTGCTCGATATTTTTGGAATAATTTAAAAAGAAAATAAAAAAATATCAAAAATAAAATATAATAAATGCTGATTAACTTTTTTTGTTACTATTTTTAGTAAATATGTTATCTCTTTATATATGTATAGATAGATAGATTTCATTCTTACTTTAAAATATTTTGTCTACATTTAAATCTAAAATTTTCCAAAAAAATTATAAACGAAAGAAAAAAATTAATCTATAAAGGAGTGTGTATAATATTTTTTAAAATTACTTTTATATTAATATTATACATTTATTTTGTTTCTTTTAAATTGTGAAGGTTCCCCGAAATGATTGGTCACATATTCGGTATTCCGTGCTTCATTGTCTCGAGCAAGTATTGAATGTTGCAGAGATTTTTTTCACCAAACGCCCCAATATTTAACATAATTGCAATTCCACCCCAAATGCACCGACTATATATAAATATTGCGGATAATGTTTGCCGTAATATTCGTGAAAATTCATCTTCAACTTCAACGGACTGTCAAACGGCGCACACAGATTGCTGTTGAGATCCGCTCAGTCCAACCTTGAATAGCCATACAAGGAAATCAAGATTCTAGAAAGAGAGGATGAAATCCCTGGCCATTTTCTTCTCTCGAGCAGGAGGCGCCGACCAGAATCCGGAACTCATTCGTAGCCGAAATGGTGAGACTAGCGGCGGAGGAGCGGCGGCGACGGCGACGGCGCCGACAGACGGAGAAACGGCTCCGTATGGAGAGAGGGAAGCGATTGCGGCAGTTGGTGACGAGGATAGGGACGAGAGGTCGTCGCCTGGCGAGGGGGAGAATAAGCGAGAATTGATGGACAAGCCCCCGTCCGATGACGTCTGCCCTATATGTTTCGGGAACTTTGATGTCCCGTGCCGAGCTCCTTGCGGTCACTGGTACTGCGGTGAGAGTTTCCTTAGTCGGTGGTTGTTCGGAGATTCTCATTATCCGAATTCTGTTCGTGGTTTTTGATTTTGATTGGTTTTAATTTATACGTATATGCGCTGGTTGGTGTGTTTGTTCATTCATTCATTGTTTGTGATTGCCTTTTTACGTGTGCATATAATCTGAGGGCACATAATATGTATTCTTGTTAGTGAATGAAATGTTCTCAGCAGAAACAGATTTTAATGTAAGATTGATGTGTGGATGTAAGCGTGGTTAGCTCATGAAAGCTAGTGATTCTCTTGCCAATATTAGGACAGGTCTGTTCGATTTCATTTATGTGTTGGAGATTTTTCAACGATACTATCACATATATGTTTACAAAGAAGGTGTTGAATTTTCTCTTGGAGGCTTTTGATTGATATGGGCGTAACCTTTCAGCGTTGTTCTAATATTTGATGAAGTATACTATACTCAATATCATCATATCATGGCATATTTATTTACTGAGAAAACAACGAGGCAGTCAGTTATTGATGTAGTATGCATTACTATATGATTGGTGGTTAAATCTCCGACAAGAATGAACTACTGTGCGATTTCGAACCTCCATTTTTGTAAAATAAATAACTGCGATTTCGAACTACTGTCGTAATTATCCATCGCGTTTCTTCTTGGTTCTCTTTGTGAAATAATTTCCTGCATTGTACAGGGGGTTGTATTCTGCAGTACTGGAACTTTAGCGCCGCACTGAGGCCGTGCAAGTGTCCCATGTGTTCACAGCTTATAACGAAGTTGACACCGGAGGCATCATTTTGTAACAGACGTGAACTGGAAATTATTAAGGTTCTACGCAATGTTGGGGACTATAACCGCTTGTTTGTGGGAGGCGTATGCGGATTTATGCTGGTGAGTTGATGCTATTTTATAACTTGAGATTTGAATATGTTTTCATATTCTTAGAGATGGACCATGTGTTTGTCTTTGTTGTTAATACAGTGCAAATTGAACCATGTAGTATGGTTAAGATTAAATGAAATGACATTAAACATTTTATGGACCCTTTGTTTACAGCAGTTTTGACTTGATCAGCATTGATTCTTCAAGCTATGGGTAGCAGATTTGCTTTGCTTTCCAGTCATTTAGTGCTTTGTACGTAAGAATATGGCTGTGTAGTTTACTGCTGATAAAGGATCTTATGGAAGTTTTACAAATTGAACCGATAAATATTGTTGACAATGTCGAAGCTCAATCTGTAAGTTCTGGATGTGGAGAACTGAGAGATTTGTCTGTGAGAAAGGTTAGCAGGTTCACTTGTTTTTGAAGTTATGGCATGAGATGTAAGATTTTAGAAAAATGTTGATAAAATAACAACTAATCACATGAAAACCTTTTCGACTACTTATTGTTGTAATCTTTATTATGTACCTACTTCCCTGACAGCACTAATTGATGGGCACATGCTTTGTTGATTGCATGTATATCGTCTGCTTCTCTCTACAAAACCAGACAACTGAAATTATTGCGTAAATATAAATTATTTGGTCGGCTGGACTGGCATTGTGGCAAACAAGGTGTTGCAAATAAGTGATCATTTTAACTGAAATTAATAGATAAAAGGTGAAAATATTGCTGGGTTGTGTGTTTTAATTTAGTTTAATCAATTTTGTCACATGCCCACAAATACATGAGAAATGGTCTTCAATGATTGAATTGTTGCTCTTAGCTGTGTATTCTTGATTCTGTATATTTTTTTGTAGCATCTCGTACTACGTAACCTCTCCAATAACTTCAATTTTGTCTTTTCCCCTGTTTTGGCAGAAATTTCTTGCTATTCCATTGTTTATGAAGAGAATGTTCCGTGAGATGTTGAATCCTGACAGACCTGGTCTTTATCTCCATGAAATGCGAGTGCTTGCAGTTAAGTTTAGATAACTGTTGCAGCATCTTTGCATTACAACCACCACTTTGTTTTCAGTACAGTTTGTTATAACTTATCAAGACTACTCAATAGCCACTCTTAACTCTTGATTTAATCATTTGCATGTAGAAATTTGTATATTTGAAATATTTTGATTGTGCCTTTTTAAGGTGCTATATTTGATTATTGATTTTCAAGGGTTCTTATGAGCATATCTACTTCAAATATTCATGGAGGCTATCTGAAAAACATGTGCTAAGAGTTGATCCGATGTCAACTAGCATTCAATTCTCTTTTTTTGAGGAAAGATGACTAGTGGTAAAAGTGATATCTATATATGGTTCAGATGCCAACTTGAGTTGCTTTTTCCTTCATAAATGTGACCATGTGCGTGGAGAATGATCGCGGGATCTTGATGCACTTTTGCAAAGCCTCTTCTGGTCCACTTTGATGCCCAATAAATGCTGAGTTTTTAAATATCATGATCCGCCTTGATGCGGCTTTAGACTTAAGTGAACTCGTGTTCTTAACTTGAATTTTGGAGTTCTTCATCACCGTCTTCTTAACTTTTGGAACAGTCCTCCTTTAATGGTTCATGTTTCCTTCTGTGCAATACTTATTACTGTTTCATTATATGTTGGGTATTTATCGTGGTCGACTTTATTTATTTTATATATATATTTTGTTGCAATATCCTTTTTTAATGTGAGTATTTTGAATTGTTCTCTGTTTGCAGTTGTTCCTTGGAGTCCTCTACTCACTCACCCCCTTTGATTTCCTCCGAATAGGTAATTTGGACATGATTGTTTCTTCCTGTAGTTCTGCTTAAATAGTTCTCGGCCCTCTCAATAATTCTTCACTTTAATGCTGTTTGATGTTCCTACAGGCCATCGGAATATCATAGATGTGTTTGACTACTCTGCCTTTGCTCTCTCGTTTGTGTTCTACCTAGTCGGGGCATACCTTCGCAGAAGGCGCAGGAGAAATGTTAGGGAGTTAATCGACGTGCAAGAGGTACAGGATTGACCCTAGTCCCTTGCTACTATAATCATGTCCGACTAGCCCGAACTTAAATCACTGCTGTACAAAAATTACAAATGAGTAATCAAGTAAATAAACAAGTAAAATCTTGTGTAGTTGGACCACTTGTGTACAAATTAAGTGTTGGTGGATAGATAAAATGTGTTTTTCGGGAATAGTAGCATATGTTAGCTCACGTTTTTGTGTCTATGTTGGTGCTGGATGAGTTTCGGATATGCTTGTTGCTACTATTAGCTTCCTTCGTCTTCCTTCATTGTTTTATTTCATTTAAATATCATATAGTTTTTTGAGTATGCTGACGTTCACATTTTTAGGCAAACTTGGTCGTGTCGAGCAGCCAGAATTTCCTGTAGATTAACTTCTGTGTCTACTCTACTGAACGTTTTGTAAATATATGTGCTGTTGTGTCGGTGTGTGTTTCGAAAACACAAATCCTGCTGTAGGACTTCGTAATGGTTAGATATACATACTTTTTTAACATACGTACTTATTGAATGTCATATTTTATTTATGTTTTTTTTCTAAGTATGATGTTTTAAAGTAGAAAAAGTAATGTTGTGTAACCATTAGGTTGTCAAACGACAATATTACTGTTGGGTAAAATATATGCTTTTATTGTATTAGTAATAATTCTATAAAATTGGTC